CGGGGTATCGGCAGAGGAGAAGCAAGGCAGCAGCAAGCAAGAAGCCCCATCACAGGGGTGGGGCCGAAGGACCACATCTGGTCTAACCACACAGGTAGATGGTGTGGCAACCCCAGGTCTTTATTTCCTCCTTCCTGCCAGAGCTATCCAAACCCACGGGGCCTCCTGTGGAGGGTGGAGCTACCCACCAGGCAAAGGCAGTGATGTCAAGAGCCAAGAAAGGGGGAGGGGTGAGTGAGGAGAAGAGGGAGAGGGGAGGGTCGGCATGCCAGGGTGCCTGCCCACTCACAGGCTTAATCTAGGGCCACTTCCTCGAGGCCTCCTCACCATCAGCTCTTACACAGGCTTGCGAGTCTGGAGCCAGACCCCTCTAACTCCACAGCAGGCCCTAGTATCTGCAGTATCTGCAGCCTCTGTGGAACACAGGCAAGGAGCGGTGGTGGGGAGAAGACATGGCGCAATTCTATATCCCAGTGCTGGCCAAAGAGGGATGGCGCAACCACGAAGGTTCCAGACAAGCCTGGTGGTGGTGGAGGGTGCGGATCCCAAACACCCTAGTCTGGGAGTTCTAGTCTCCCAGCTCGTTCCCTCTGGCAACAGGACATGGATCTCCGCTCAATCTGGGAATGACCTAGCCCTGAGAAAGTCCACGTTTCACACCCAAGGATGTAGCTACCTAGTTGGCCTCCTTGCCACCTGCAGGACGCAGTATTTAAGAGGACCCTGCGGGTGGCTGCTCTGACCAGCTCTCTAAGGTCATTCTTAACTGACTCCCTCTGGTCTCCATTTCTCTCCGTGCCTTCCCCCTTCCTTTCCTCTTCCGTCTCTCCCAAGAGAATGAGACCCATCCTTGTGGTCTCACCTGGGACTGTGGTAGATTCTTTCTGAATTGGGGGACCCATCTTGCCCCCCTCTCTAAGAACAGAAAGCTGGCTCAGGGAAACCCGGAACTTGCCCTTGATCCCAGGGAGCTGCTGTGGAGCTGGTGTAAAAACCAAAGTCTTCCGGCCTGCCCCTTAATAAAACAGGCTTTTTGTCTTTCAGAGGACCATGCCTGCTGTGACTGAAGGACCCCAATTCTGGAACCTTAGTGAGTGGGAGCCAATGACCCCCTGTGCCCTGAGACAGTCCTCAGGGGAGGGAGGATGAGTGGGCTTGAGGAGGTAGGAAGGGGGAGGGAACAAGGGAAGCAGGCTTGAGGTGGGACAGAGGGCTGGGGGAGGGGCCAAGGGTGCCAAGTGAAAGGATTACCCCAGCCTGCTGACAGTGCAAATTATATTTATAGATGTGCTAAATACAGTCACTGTGTTGGAGCTTTTCACTAGATCACAGCACACAGAATCGAAGGTTTGCATTTCGTATGGAATGTATCCAAAGAGGCCAGCACCACAGTAGGACAGCTTGCAATCACACACCCTGATAGTTTGGACGAAATAAAGTTCGCAGACTTTTATTTAAAATGGGTTTTTTTGTTTGTTTTCGCAGTTGTCATCGTACCAATGCATGCAAAGCATTCCACTCCCAGAAACGACGCCAAAATGAGGTAATAGGAGCAATAAAAAACATTAGTATCCTTTCTAAATAAATAAATTATAATTAAAAATGCAAAACAACTATAAAAATAATTAAATAAGAACCCACGATATCTACAAGTTAGTCATAAATTATGATTGTTAAATATAAGGCATTGAAACTCACAAAACCCTGTAAACTAGCAACGTGCCATGTTTTTTATTTTTTGTGTTTTTTTTTTTTCTTTTTTTGTTTTTCTATCAGCTGAAATCGCTCTAGCATTTGCTCTACACGCGCGCGCGGGAGATGAAACACAAGGGGACCTGACAGACGTTGCTACAGCCCCACGTGGGGAATGTTTGTCCCGCAGGCAGGGTGGCTTGGGGGATTTCTTCAAGAAAAAAAAATAGTCTGGTGCTTTTTCTTCACCATTGAAAAAACTGTGCTTGTTCGTTAGGCGTAAAGAGTTAAGAATGCTTGCACGGAGGCTGGGGCCTTTGCAGAGGAGAACTTGAGGCCTGTCACAGGTGGTGGCGAAAATGACACGGGGACCTGGGGGCCTGGCCAGGTGGAGGAACGGAACGTGCAGCCCCTGCTGCCCTCTGCCTGTGCCCAGCTGGATTCGTGGCGTTGGGTTGATTGGTGTCCTAGGCGGACCTGCTGAGCCATGGCTGCGGTTAGGAGGCCCAACTTGAACCTGGGGCCGCTGTCAAAGGCACTCATGCGTCTCAGTCAGAAAAGGGTCTGAGTCCCTTGAGTTGAGCAGGAGAACTACATACGACTCTCTCCTGGAGACGGTAGATGTGAGATGCTGAGGCCTGGCCCTGCCTCATCTCCACTCAGCTCTGGCTCATCTCCACTCAGCTCTGGCTCAATGTCCAGTCTGGGGACCCGGAGCGGAGGTTTTCCTCCAACCAATCAGAAGTCCCGAAACGGGGACTGGGCGGGTTCTAAGTGCTACTCCAACCCCTACCATCAGGACACAGGGACCCCAGGTAGATGGGAAGGGGAGGGGGCGGCAGGAACAACCCCTCCCCTGCCCAGGTCCTAATGTTAGCCTGGGGCTTTCAAAGAGCCTGCATGAACGGGAACAAGGAGAAACCACTCTACCCTCTCCCTCAGCCTGCGTGCCTCAGCCTCTGAAGCAGATTTGTGGGGGCATAAAAGGCCTCTCAGCAGCATGAGCAGCAACAGCTCTACTTGAAGGATGCATTGACATTAGAAAGAATCACAGAATGTGTGTATCGGGAGAATTTAGTGAGCATCCAATCCAACCTCCTTGGGTCGCAGCTGAGGAAGCCGAGGCCCAGCAGGGCAAAGGGTGTGGGTGGAGGTTCCAGCATCTCTTCGTTTGCCCGTGAGGAGCCGGGACTAGAATCAGGGACACTAGTTCTAGTCCCCCCCTCCCCCCCGGATCTCTGCCAATTCTCTTTCCCTGCCAGCCTTGCAGGACAGCCTCAAAGCAAAGGGTAGAGAGTGAGTGGCCTCGGGGAGCAAAGACCTGCCTGGACCACCCCAGTTATCTCTGAGCCACAGTCTTCTGGTGAAATCTTGGTTTTGGCACGGCCCTGGGGAGGAGCAGGAGAGAATTCACAAGTCCTGGTGGCTTTCGGTCAGCAGCTCCCTGACATCCTGACTCAAACATTCTTCCCCCCCCCCCCCGCCCCCGGTGGGTATCCAGCCCTGGCGTTGGAGACCTTGTCCAAGCAACCAAAGTTGTCCTGGTCTTCACTGTCTGACCGTCCACCGTAAGCAATGTTGGATGTTCCCCGATCCTCTTATAATTCCACCAGGCAAAGATGTTGCCTTAGTGATCATCTTCATCAACTCTTGCCCCAGTAGGCACTCAACAGAGATTTTAGGAGACATCAGAAGATGGGTCATGGGTGTAGCCTTCGTCTGGATAGTGGATAGACAGCCGCTCCTTCGTGATGGTATCCGTTGTGCTAGAAAGTTCTCTCTCGAGTCCAGTGGTCCCCTGTCAATTTTGGTCCTGATTCATCCTCATGGGGTTTCTTCCTTTATCCGACCAGCACCCTAGTTCCTTGATACAGGAGCATTGAAACGGGCTAGGGGTCGAGGTTGGGCTGGATTCTGAGAGCAATGCCAATGAGGGACGACGAGGAGGGCCGGGGGCAAAGGAAGTTCACAGCATGCCAGGTGCCCTGGCGGGTTTTTTTTTTTTTTTACACGTGATTAAGAGCTACACTTGGGTTAGAATTAGCAGAATCAGACGATCAAGAGGCTAGGGACACAGGCCTCCCAGCCCAGGCAAGTGATCTCATAGCAAGGGCCGTCTCTGAGGGGCTAATCAGTCAGGATCCTGGAGGATGCTCAAGTTACTCCCAAATTTAGGGACTTGACTTCAGCCCTGAGTGCTAGCGGAGAGCACGTTGGCCAAGGCCAAGTGTACGCTGCCAATGCTATTTCATCTGCATCATCTGGTTAATTGTTTGCATAGGGAGGCAGTGGCTACATTGCCTCTTTGTGGCAAGACGAGAGCTCAGGATAAAGTTAGGAACTGGAGTGCGCAGGGGGCTGCTGGCTCCCAGGAACATAGGGCCACTGTGGCTGGAGGCTGCGTCTTCCCTGGTTCAGTGTGGAACCTAGGAAGACAGCTGGGACCAAGCAAATGGGCCCCAGGACTGGGGAGCTCACCTTTATATGGGCCCCCTTCAGTGGCGAGGGTTCTGCCCTCCTCGCCTTCCCCAAAAGCCTCAGAAACCCAGAGAGACCCCATCTGTTCCTTTTAAACCCTACCCTCTTCTCAGATGCCCCGTCCACACTCCGTGCACTGTAAACATGAGAAAAACAAAGCCCAAAGGAAAAAAAAAATAACAACAACAAAAAAACAACAAACGAGAACCCCCCTCCCGCTTCCCAACCTGGGTGAAAAATTTTCATCCTTTTTCACCGTAAACAGGATTTGGCTTTTTTCTTTTTCTTTCTTTTTTTTTTTAACCTTTGATTTTTTTTTTTCCTTTTTGCTCATAAAGACGGGAAGATTGGGGCTGTCGTTGGTTGGTTCGGTCAGGCACCAAAACAAGAAACTCAATGAGAAATATTTGGTGCAAGTTCAGTAATAGCGACATGTCCACCACAGATGACGAGAGCACCACACACGACATTTTTCTTAAGCTAACATGCTCTGGCTGCCATCCACAGAATAGCTAGAGACCCCTACATGGTTTCTACGTGGTCAAGAGGTATATACACAATCCTTCAAAGGACAGGATTGAGGGGCCGGTCACCAGCTAGTACCCTCGAGATCACATCTAGTTCTCAGCAGCTGGGCCCCCGCTTCCCGCCCCTGCTCTGGGCACGGCCAGCTCCCTCCCCCTGCGCAGCAAGGCGATGAGGCAGTCACCATTCTGGATGGGTGGGTCCCCCCACCCCTTCCTCTCCCTCAGACACCGATACCAACTCCTCTTTCCACCAAATGTGCTTGCAGGCTTCTTCTCTACGTCAAATGGCTCAGAAGGCAAAGTTTGGCTGCAAGGGCTATGGCCGTGGGGGGCGAGGGGGCGGGGCCTGGTGAAGGAAACGGGGCGTCCACTGGCTAGCTTCCTCCCTCAGCTGTCGGCTCCCAGTTGTGTCTCAATGTCCACTCGGCAGATGGGGCATTTCTTGCTCATGGCGAGCCACTGGTCCACACACAGTTGGTGGAAGAGATGCATACAAGGTAGGCGTCTGGAAAAGAGGAGAGTTGGTTTTCTGGATAAACCCAGACCCAGGGGTGAGACCTAGGGCTGAGATGAGAAACCATGGCTGCAAGTAACTCTCAAAGCCCTTCTTCCATAAAGGCCTTAGCACACTGTCGCCACGCCCCCATGTCGTGGTCACCACCTCTAGACTATTTCGCCCTCTGCTTTACTAGAGCAACCATGAAACATTGTAGCAGTGGCCTCTTACCTCACGTCTTCTCCATCCTCCAACATAGACAAACAGATGGTGCATTTCTCATCTGTGTCTGACTCCTCCCCTTCGTCTTTCTTGCCCTTGCTGTCCTGGGGTCTTCGCTGTGCGTAGAGGAAAGAAGAAAAAAAGAAAAGAAAAGAAAAAAAAGAACATTCATTTTAGTTACCTGATACCAGCTCTTGCTGGCCATTGGCTTTCACCCACAGGCTCCTCCCACACTGGTAGCCTCTTCCTTAGCTCGCTGCTATCTCCTCACTCTTGCTGATGCAGGGAGGTAAAAAGCAAGAGAGGAAGAGGCAGGTAGACTGCTGGTGGCTATCCTAGACACTGTCAAGGGGCCCCGGGGTTTGCAAAGGACCTAGGCTCCTAGTCATTCTGCCCTGTGCAGAGCTACAGCCTGTGAATTTTGGCTTTCCCCGTCTCCCTAACATTGTCCACTCCCTCTCACACCCTGTCCAACATGTACCCCTGCCTCTAAGTCAGAATGCGTCATTCATTCATTCATTCATTCACACATTCCTCATTCGTTCTTTCCACTAATGTCCATTCATCTATCCTCTCATTATTAGATGAACACAAAATTTCTCCACCATGAACCCCTTTAATTTGTACCACGTGGTTCTAAACTGTTTTCTATAGTTGTGCTTCTCTCCCTAGCCAGAAAGTTCCCTTAAGCTACTAAGCGGTAGCTCTAGAACGAGGTTAAACACCACGCAGCTGCTGTCCATACTTCCCGATTTATGCCTTTCTATCCCTGATTCTATGGTAATTATTTGACAACAGTTAAGCACTCTGCAGATCGTTTTCAAGTGGCACCTGTGGCCAAGTACAAGACATGCCATTGCTGCTTAATAAATATATAAATACTCTGGGGAAGGAAAAATGTAATCATCGAATTAAATCTGTCTGCCTTCCACATCCCTATGCCCCACGCTGCAGATGTCTGATTGTAAGGATGAGAGTAACCACGGACAGAAAGTCATCCAATCTGGCCTCCCTCCAGAGGCAAGCAAACTGCAAAGTCATGTTGCAAAGAGACACATAGAGTCACAGATTAAGACCAGAGAGTAACATTGGGTACATGTCAGGACTACCTCCCTAGTTGAAAGCTCAAAAGCTCCCTGCTCTGATTACATCTGGGGGTGTCCCGCCCTGGTTAGAACACACAAGGAAGCCTATTGCTTCCACTGGCTGCACCCCCTCATGTGCCCCGTGTCCCAGCTGCAAGTGATGCCAGGCTGCTGCAAGGTCCCTTTATCCAGAAAACCAAGAGTATCCATTATCCTACATGTTGGCCACGCATCATTTTTAGTATTAATAGTCATGACCATCTGCCTGCTGAAGGTTGGCAGTCTTTGTGGCAGGATTGGCTCCGCTAGAAAAGAAATGTCCAACCAAACAGCGTTAAGCCCCAGCCATATGCCTAGTTTCTATTGCTTTTATCCACCATTTTTATGGTTTCCTTTTTGTGTCATAGCTTCAGTTCAGCACTGTCTTGTTCAGCTATTTCTAATCCTTCCTTCTCTCCTTTCACAGCGCATTTCTTAGCCTCAATATTTAATCTCTTAAATCTTTCTTTTTCTCCATTGTCTACAGAACTTTGTGATGTGGAATATTATTTTAACTAGGCAAAGATGTGCTACACTTATTTCTGCTTTGGATTTTATTACTTTGTGTAAAGGTGTGCTACATTTGTTTCTGCTGCCTTTGTTAATGATGTAAAGATGTGTTACATTTGTTTATGCTGCATTTGTTTAACAGTCATGTAAAGATATGTTGCTGCCAAATGCAACTGATTGGGCTAATAAAAAGAGGAACGGCCAGAAGTAAGGCAGGATAGGGATTGGCGGGGTGACCAGCAAGAGAATAAGTAGGAGGAAAAATCTAGGCTTGGAAGAAGAGAAGAATAATGAAGAGAAAAGGGGAGAAAGAGAGACACATCCCAGAGCCAAAAGCCAGGCAGCTGCCAGCCAGATGTGGAGACAGCAGGAAAGTAAGATATATAGAAAGAAAGAAAGGCAAAATGTAGACAACGAGAAGTGGGTTAAGTTATAAGAGGTAGCAAGAACAAGCACAAGTTAGGACCAAGCATTCATAACTAATTTAAAGGGTAAGTGTTGTCATTTTGGAGCTGCTTGTGGCCCAAAAGAAAGCCTGGTGCAACTTTGATTTTAACTTCAACTTTTTTCAGCATTTATTTAATACTCACTACTCATCTACCTTCTTATTTCATCAGCATTTCTTTTTAACTTTGATAATCTTGGTTTTTTTTTTTTTTTTTTTTTTTGCTTTTCAAAACAGGGTCTTACTGTATAGCATTGACTGTCCTGTAACATAGAGATCCCCTGCCTCTACCTCCAAAGTTCTGGAATTAAAGGTGTGCCCTACCTACCATTCCTGACTTAACCTTGATTATTTTATACTTTGCTTTCATTCCTCTTCCTATTCTTATTTCTTTCATATGGTCCTATTTTTAATGTCTATATAGTCTATTTTTATTATTAGTTAAAATACACTTTTACTTTATATTATTTTAATCTCTGTTAAAAATTTTAAAATTGTTTTAAAATTGTATTTGGATCCTAAAGTTTATTAAAGTTGTCTTACCTTAATTCTTCCTATTCCTTCTCTACAATATTTTTCTCTTGATTCTGCCTTGAGTTTTACTCCTCCTATTTATTCTCACTGATCCAGCTCCCTGAGCTGATATATTTATATGGTCCCCAGTTAGTGGAATTGTTTGGGATGGATTAGGAGGTGTGGCTTTGTCGGATGACATACGTCACTGGAGGCAGACTTTTAAGATTTCAAAAGACTTGTGCCATTCTTTTTGGATCAAGATGAGAGCTCTCAGAGGTTCTTTCTGCCTTTGTTCTGCCACTGGGGTCTCCAACCTCCTGAAACTGTAAGCCCAATTAAACACTTTCTCTTATGAGTTGACTTGGTCATGATGTTTTATCCTGACAACAGAAGTAACAAACACGGTGGGGACACATATTTGCTGATTCGTACTCTCTGATACTGACACCCGGCACACAGGCAGGAATTGGGGACAGTGGCTCACCGTTGGCTGTTCCTGGACACCAGGCAAGTACCTGGCCCTCTGTATGAAGCTGCACCATCCCACTGCGTCCTGAAGCAGCCGTGTTGAGAACAGAAGAAATGGGCCACTGTCCACACCCACACAGCCATGCTCAGAAGAAGTGAAACTCAAAACTGGCTGACTTTAGTCCCAAGTGATCTCAACTACCACTGTGTTGGGTATCAAGAGAGTGGATGAAGGTCTCTGGGTACACCACGATGAACCTTGGCCTGCCCTTATTTTCTCTAAATTTGTTTAATTTTCATTCGACATTAACTTTTTTGGTATAGTGATTCAAGGTTACACAAAAAATAAGCAACAATAATGTATTTCCAACTTCCACTATAAGGAGCAAAGGAAGTCCTGAGTTGTTGGGACCAATTGGAGTCCTGGCCTTCAGCTGCTCTTCCCTGCTTGAGCCTTCTGATTGGAGTTACTAAAAGCTGTGCCTTGCCTAGAGGATCAGAGGATGGGGTTTTCACCTGTTGGCCCACTTAATGGCTGAGTATTTAAGCCTCCATGGTGCTATGAAATAAAGGGCTTTGTACCAGTGATTAGACATCTGTGTGTCTGTCTGTCTCTGTGTGTGTTTGTGTTTTCTCAACCTCCAACCCCTTGCCCAAAGCTCGCGAACTGTATTGTAGCACAAAGAGCGCAGACAAGCGTTGTGCGCTCCAATGAGTGATGAACTCCTTGTTGAGTGTGTATTTTGACATGTGTATGGTCATGTCAAGGATGCCCAAGTCCCAGACTCGTGGGACAACTGGCAAATCTGTTACCCATAGGACTGGGTCTCAAAAGAAATGGCAAAGCTTCTCTTGTAAGTCCAAGCCTGAGTGTTTACGTACATTTCATCAAGGTGTGCAGACTAGCAACTTCAATTTCCTCTGCCGAGATGTTTGCATCCAGCTTACCTACAGAGACTACCAGCCATGCTGAGGTTCCGGGCTGCAGTGGTCACGTTAGAGAACCCTACCTGAACCCAGCTTCATTGTATGTGTGTCTGTGTTTCTTCATTCCTTCACTGCCCCTAGCCAGGGTTCTAGGACCCAAGCCACAAGCAGGATGTGGCCCCACCTCTCATGTTACATGGTAAACTTGGGACAAGTGATGAACCAAGACTGGCCATTATTAGCTCAAGCCCATTAGCTTCCATGAGTTAAGGGCTGGAGCTGAAATGTTGCAGGTTTGACTGCACACTGGTGGCTTTGGAAAGTGTTGTCGGGGCATTGGTCTTATTAATTGATTAATCCACTATTGCATTCCTAATTTGGTAACATTATAGGTGGTGGGAACCAGGAGGTATGACCTCATTGGAGGAAGTATGTCACTGTGGGCGTTCCCTGGAAGGGTGGACCTCCTTCTCAGCATTTTCACCCACTCTGTTTCCTATCTACCAGGCCTTGCCACAGTCCCAGAATCAGAGACAAGAAACCACGAACAGACTTCTCAAACTCTGAACCCAAAAGAATCTTCCCTCGCGGAGGATGCTTTCTCGGGGAGTTTGTCGCAGTGATGAGCAAGCTACCTGACTCAGAGACAGCTCCTGCCTCGGGGTTTTGGTAAATGCATTATGTCACCTGTTTAAATAACAATGCCATACACAATAATTTGCTGCACTAACAAAATCCTGGCACTCTGCCTGTGCCTTCCCTCCGCAATGGAAATCCCTTATCTTTTTTCTTTTTGTTCTTTCTGTTGTATCATTTCCAGAATGTCATATAGTTCGCAGCATACAGTTTACAGCTTGTGGGCTCCCTTCTTTCGCTTTTTAGTGTATACTTAAGCTTCCTCCACAGTTCTTCATGGCTAATGAATTATTTCTTTTCATTATAAAACAATAACCCATTATGGATGTTTACTTGTCTACTTATTAAAGAACACTTTGGCTTCTTCCATGTTTTCATTTCTTTTAATTAAAATAATGCTTTAAAAGCTCATATTTCTGGGTACCAGCCCCACAGATTCTACTTCTAAGGTCAGTGGGTACATTCCACGGTTTTGAAACTTTCAAACGTCCCCAGAAGAGCCCAATCCCACAGTGTTTAGAATCCTCCTTTACCCCTTTGTCCTTACGCAACAGGGCTTTGAATTGTTCTCTAAGGTATTTTCTATTAGCCTTGTGTGTAGGATCCCTTTGCTCACCAGACTGGTGCACAAACACTGATGTGTCTGTACGGCTACACATGCATAAATACGCACGTGACCACTCTGGCCAACATTTGCACACTCAGCCTTTCTCCCTTCTCTGTGTAGGGTCCCATCTTCCCTCCTGACCACTTTTGCTGTGAGCCTATGAGAAAATCCTGAGGAGCCATTCAAACAGAGCAAAGGCTTCTGGGCTTTGGATTGTGTCCCCTGCAGATAGCCAGGCTGGTTCAAGCAGCCACGCTAACGACTCCCTTCCCAGCCCCTGACTGTGGAGACAGTCTAAGCAGCCTCACCTTCTTGTACTTGTGGGGGAAGGTGAACCTCTCGATTGTGTTCTGTACAGCTCCTCGGGTCACGTTTCCCAACCTGTCCTCGAGCTGTAGCAGCTCCTGTAGAAAGGAAAACACAAACGTGTGCTCAACGTGTACGGAGAGACATAAACACAGGCGAGAGGAAAGAGCAAGGAAGACGCGTGCAGGAAGCCGGCATGCTGCCAGCCGGAAGCGCTGGTGCAGTGTGGGAAGCTGCGATTTCTCTTCATGCCCTGTTCTCTCTTACTTTCAATCCCGGGATTCATTCCCCACCCCCATCGGCATCTACCCACTGGTACAGAGAGGCAGAGAGAATGGTGTGTGAACGATAGCTCGCCAGCCGGTCGGTGCCGCGGTGCCGCTGTACCGGCAACATACCTCGTAGCTCTCCCGAACAGCAGAGGTGTGCCGGCTAGGATTTAGTCCCTGGAGCGCGAGGAAGTGAAGCTGTGGGTAAGGGTAGTTTCGAATTTCATGGACAACCTGACAGGAAGAAAACAGTTTGGAGAGAGTGACCAACCGTTCCAGGCTTCTCCTGGGCTTGAGAGGCAACCCCTCCTCCCTCAACCACCAGAGAGCACACCCAGACCTACTGCCCAGCAGGGCTGCCCCTCCTGATTGTTTTCTACCCTATTCATGAAGAGCCAAGCTTGTGCACAGACTCTGATGACCATCAATATGGTGACGCTGACCCTGACTGAGCACAGGCTACACAGTAGCGCTATTCTGCGTGCTTCCCGTGACCAAGCATTTCACTGCCTCACCTGATGGAACCTGCAGGGACAATTACAAATCCCCCTTCTACTGAGGGGGATGAAGACGGCACCAGGAGATTAAATAATCAGCTCGTGTCACTCAAGCAAGTGACAGAGTCAAGACTCAGGCCCAGGCAACTGGGTGGCGAAGCCTCCTCTACTATCTCCAAGAGCAACAGGATGGCTACGGGTCATCTCCACGGCCAAAAAGGACAGTAACCAAGGTAAACAGTATTGTAATGCAATAAAAATAAATAAGTAAAAACAATTTTTTAGAAACCCATGAGGAACGAAATATTAGTCTTTTAAATACAGACTCTAGCCCCAAAGTTGCTGATCTCTGTTTTATTCGGCCTTCCATAACCCTGGCGAGGTGACAGACCAGCTGCCATCAAGATTTCCGCTGCATACAATGGAAACAATTACTTCATCTCTCTAGGCCTCAGTTTACCAGTGTGCAAAATGGACATCATGGCTGGCTGCATAGGGTACTGGCAGGAGGAAATAAGATTAGTTATATGCAGTGTTTATAATCGTGTCTAGTAAGTGTTCCTTTCCCAAGCCACGGGGTGGCTAGGTGACAGAAACAAGGGTTGAGAAGGGAGAATTCTATTTGGGGACAGGAACAAGCATTTCTCTTGGTATTATGTGTTACTGGCAGCCTCAAACCCAGCCTGAGTTTTCTGGCACATTCCGGGTCCTATAGCCCCAAGAGGGGTACTCCTGGGAAGTGGGTATCCTAGGTCTGTGGGGAGGTCCTTCTAGGATCTATTGTGACATTCTCACCAGCCCTGTGAGAGACACGTGTGGTGTCTATATTCCATCTCACACCAAAAAAAAAAAAAAAAAAAAAGCATAGTCACACCCAGGGATGCTGTGGGGCAGTGGTCCTGTGCTTTGTAAAGATTCGTCACTTGTATTTTAATAAAACGCTGACTGGTCAGTAGCCAAGCAGGAAGTATAGGCATGGCGACCTGAACAGAATTCTGGGAAGAGAAAAGACTCAGTCTGTAGTCATCACAGATTAAGTCAGACACAGAGGAAGCAAGATGCCAACGCCTCACTGATGAACGGTACCAAGCCACGTGGATAACACAGACAATTATGGGTTAATGCAGGATGTAAGAATTAGTTAGTAAGAAGCCCCCCGGCCGCCCCCAGGACTCCGTCACTCACCATCTGTGTGGAGGAAGAGTTTCTGGGGAAGTGGTGCATTCGAGGAGTGGCTAGGTAATGCTGATAGTGCTGAGGGATGGGCCGCACCTGGAACTGGGCAGGACTCAGGCCAGCGTCCACACTGAGATCCCTGTGGGGACACAGCCTCGTGAGCTATAAGGTCGGAGAGGTACCAACCCATTTCAGACGAGGTCTCACACACCGGTACCTTGGGGCTAAGTCAGAACTCATGCTACTGACTCTGCCCTTCAGAGTGGAAGAAAATGGCATTGATTAATCTTCCTACAAGCTGCCTACCCACAATGAGCCATTTCCATATCTCCCTCCACCCCGCCCCCTCCCCGGACCGCATCTAAGACCCGAGGCACCTGGAGCAGCCCAGAATATTAAGAACCATTCTCCAAGAACCAAGCCCAAGGCTCGCTCCCACGGAAGAGTCCAAATGGAGTATGTCAGGGATACTGAGCAAAGGAAGCCAGGACCAGACTGAGGATGGGCAGTGACCATATTTTCCCCACTCGATAAAACCACAGGCGAGTGACTCCCACCGACTGCTTACCCTACAGGCTAGAAAGGAATCCCAGTCCACCCTGTCACTTCCTAAAAGTTTAGAAAAACTCACTTCATTTAAACATGAGTTTCACTAAAACATTTCCAAATTCAATGGAAACTGTAAACCTACAGGCTCAAAATGATAAACAAATTTCAACAGTGTAACATAAAGAAAATAACTCAACGTACATAATAATATTTTGAAAATAATAAAAAGTTTAAAGCCAACCTGAGATTAAAGAAAAAGGACCCCGGGATAGAGAAGGGTACAAATTATCACAGAAGCAGCCAGAAAAGAAAGAATTGACAGAAATAAGAAGAAATCAAAAAGATAATATCAAGCATGAAGGCTGCATCCAGTAAACATGAAGGTGAAGCAAAGCTTTGTCAGACGAGCAAAGGCTGGAAGAAGGTATGGGTGCTGATGGGCCAGACCACAAAAAATAGCCAAGCAAGATCTGCAGACAGACGAAAATGATGACAGTAAGAACTTAGACCCTCACAAAGAAACAAAGAGGAACCAGTGGGTAACGAGAAACAGAGCTCATCTGGGGTCTGTGGAGAACATGCAAGAGGAGAAACTGGAACATTCTGTCATAACCAAAGGCCGGATCGCTATTAATGTGCACCAGGGTCACGGCAGAAGGAATCTTCCAGAAGAGGCTTGCAGCAGCCAGATTTGGATAATGTGCGTGTCAGTAACTAACTGTGAAAAGATAGTGAAGCCCATGAAAGACATTAAATGTGGGCTGAGATGATGCTGAACAAAAGATTCTCTCTGAAGGATGCCAAGGGACCAGCTCCTAACCCAGCACCCAGTAAACAAAGGAAAGACCCAAGTGTCTGACTTGCCCTTTCCCGGACTAAGGTACTTCAGGGTAACCAAAGGACTGATGAGGGTCATTTCTCATATGAAGCTTTCCAGCAAGCATATGAACAAGAAATTATTAAATTATCTGACACCATTTTGCATCTTCCAAATAGATAAAGACCCAGACAGAGGTCATCAATTGCTGCCAACATCACAGAAGGACAGGCAGCCATACCAGAATATTTTCTGATAGAAAAACATAGTGGTATTCCCAAAGTGTTTCTGCTAAGAAACAAGAGAGGGAGAGAGAGGGAAAGTGAAGGACAAAGTGAGGGAAGGAGGGAGAAAGGGAGAGGGAGAGAGGGAGGGAGGGAGGGAGGGAGGGAGGGAGGGAGGGAGGGAGGGGAGACAGAGAGAACTAGAAACTTTTTAAATGGTTTCTTAAGACAGAGCCTTACTCTGTAGCCCAGACCAGAAGTGAACTTACAATCCTCCTGCCTCCACCTTCAAAATGTTAGGATTGCAGGCATGAGCAGCTATTGGTCCACTTTTGAGGATCACCTGAAGTGACTTCGGAGTGGTCAGAATGTAACAGCAAAAACTAAATAAGGGGAACTCAACAGGAGGAGCAGTCTAGTTTTTCACCCTCCCCAACAGAGAGAGAGAGAGAGAGAGAGAGAGAGAGAGAGAGAGAGAGAGAGAGAGAGAGGCATCCTGCTTCCCGTCATGTTTTAAGGTAGCAGAGATTGCATTTTTCCTTCACTGTGAGCCACTGGACAGACTCTATACAGCATCTGTGTTCAGATATTGCATAAACCAGCTCTGTAACCCAGAGCAGACCCATGACAAGGATGGAGACCCTAGGCTGTGGCTCAAGTTCAGGGTCAGGTTTTAGACATGGATGGAGAAGAGGACTATTTGAGAATTATCTCCCAAGGCCTGATGCTCTCGCTCACTCTTAGGATATCTACGTGAAGAATTGACTGGGAAGGGTATGATGTCACAAAGTAAGACCAGGATAGCCTTAAACTTGGGGCTGGCCCAGACCTGAGGCCAAATCCTCAGAATGACCCAGGGCGGAATTCAGTGACTTCTGATGGTACTAAAGGAAAGGACTGGGTAGGTGGCGGCTGTTGTGACAACCACTTCCCTTCCAGAAGGTCCCTGCAGAGGGTTAGAAGATCTTTCCCTACAATGCATCTCCTGTCACCCAATTACTCGGCTGTCTCCTGGAAGATGAGGCAGCTCCATAGAGGAGAATAGAGATACAGTTAGCATGAGTGGTGGACAGAAACAAAGGGGAAAAAAAGCCTTCTCACCATTGGGTCCCCCCTTGCTGAAGCAGAGCTCCTTGCAGGGAGGAAAATCTGCTGCCCAGGTAGGGACAGGGCCAGCAGATTGAGCTCAGGGGTGGGTCCACACAGGACTGTGGAATGTGGACCAGGCTCACCAGCCTCCCAGATCCTTATTGCTAATGTTTCTCAGAGCAGCAGGGAATGCAGAGAGGTTGACAAGAGAAAGAGGATGCGGTTTGGATGCATAAACCAGCTAAGGACACGGATGATGCATTGAACTGCTCCTGACTCCTCCCAAGGGTGACGTCCCCATGGTAGATCCCGCCTGTGACGTGCCCCACACCGTGTCAGACCCCGTGTTTGTGTTCAAATCGCTCAGCTGTGGACAGGGTTCTGGGGGCTCCATGTGTGCTGAATTGAATCCAGCTGAGCTGACTTTACTGCTGAGGGACAGAACTGAATCCAGACTGCAATTAAACCTTCCTCATTTGAATCTGCTAAGTGGGAAAAAGGCTGGGCGGAAGTTGGCAGTAGTGTGATCCGTCTTTTAAGAGAGATTGTTCAGCTTAGCGGGGAGTACCTGAGAATGCTGAAGATGGCAGCCAACAGAGCATGCTCACAACACTCTTTCTGGCGCCCAGAAGCATGGGAAGCAGTGAAATCAGTCCCAGCTATAACGGAAGGGGCTCCCAAAGCCGCCCTGACCTAACCAGCTTTCCTGGCCCCACGTGTGGAAGATGACACACTGGCATGGCGTCGCTCTCTTTCCATTGAGGAATATTCTACCCACCCCTTCTTGTATTCTTTATCTAAAAGAAAAACAAAGAATTCCAGGATCTGCTTCACCTCCATTCCCCCCAAAGCCACCATTACAGCCTATCTGTTTCTTTCTGTGACTCTTTAGGTGCACATAAGTACACACAGATAGATAGATAGATAGATAGATAGATAGATAGATAGATAGATAGATAGATAGATAGATAGATAGATAGATAGATAGATAGATAGATATGATAGATGGATACATACATAGATGATAGATACATAGATACATAGATACATAGATGATAGATAGATAGATAGATAGATAGATAGATATGATAGATACATACATAGATGATAGATACATAGATGATTGATAGATAGATATGATAGATACATACATAGATGATAGATACATAGATAGATGATACATAGATAGATAGATAGATAGATAGATAGATAGATAGATAGATAGATGATTGATAGATAGATATGATAGATACATACATAGATGATAGATACATAGATAGATAGATGATACATAGATAGATAGATAGATAGATAGATAGATAGATAGAAAGAAAGATAGATAGATAGATAGATAGATAGATAGATAGATAGATAGAGACAGATAGGCAGGCGTATGTGTAGATGGGCATATATATGTCTATATGTGTATTCCTCTTTAGGGTGAACTACCACAGTATATCACTGTCCTCTGAAGAAAACTGCCACCACTTTCACGAGACGAGCTGTGCCTGCTTGGGCATCAATCAGGACAGGGCCTGGGGACTTCTGACATCCCCTCAGAGAAGGAGGGATGGAGAGGACCACTGAACTGTCCAGTGAGGCTGCTTTGGGGGTTCCCCATGCTCCTGTAAGCATCTCCCTGCCCCTAGAAGGAAGCCCAATAAGTTCATTGGTTTCAATGGGAGACTCTGGTGAAATCCAACTTTGTTGATTTGTCATTTGGACCTTGAAGGGAGCGTATAGACACTGTCCCATTTCCACAGGAAAGGAATTTTATCAACAATTACTCAGAAATCCATGATGCCCTTTACCCAGAAATACCCAGTGAACTACAACTCTTTTAAAATTATCTGGGGAGGTCTAGTCTGACTCTAGTTAAGACCAGATCTCTCCTGGGTGACAGCTGAGGAGGTGAATGGGCTGTAAAGTTCCAGAAGCATGGGAAAACTTCCTAGGGGTCACCCATCTCTGAGACACAACACCCTCCATCTTCCTCTTTCACTCCTAAGTCCTTCCCTTACCTCTAACCTCTGCCCAGTCACACCCCATGCATGGCCTTGCTGGTGAGTTTTACCATAGCTCTGTGGATTCTTCCAGACCATCCTCTCCAGAAAGCCTTCCCTGACCATCCTGGCACCTCTGCGTTCTCCTCCCAAGCAGTCCTCTAGAGTCTACTGGTTTGTAGCTCTACTGAACCTGGGAAATGTTCACATCCTGTCTCTCTTCTTTCTGGCAGGACCATCAACCAGGCTTGGCCCAGGATAGTGTCTGGTTACACTGAGTTCCTTCCTGTAACCACACCATGTAGGTGACTGAAGTAGACACCAGGTCTCAGTAGACTGGGGTTTAACCTGTACCCTTCGAAAGTGATACAAAACGAAATCCCACAGGTCTGGCAAGATCTCTCTCTCTCTCCCTCGTTTGCTCTACAGCATCCCACCCACCCACCCACTCACCAGTCAGTGCCCTCAGCCAGATAGCGGGGCTGAGGTGTCTGCAGTTGGTGGCCAAAGTCAAAGCTGGGGTGGAGGCGGTGGGGGTGGACGGACACTCGATCCTGACTCCGCCTGTACAGAAAGAAAGAAAGAAGCCTTTGTGTTAGGGGCTGCCTGGGCCAGCCAAGCTCCCAAGAGCTCTGAGTGACACTCCCTCCACCTACTGAGAATGCCCCCACTCTGCTATCCCCATAGAAACTAGAGTTCCCTAACACCAACGAATTTCCCAGGTGAGCAAAAACTGGTCCCCTGAATCCTCCATTCGCTCCCACCATCCGTCTCTCCACCACACTCTTCCAAGTTTTCAAGGAAGTGCCATTCTTCTCCAAGAAGCCTTTCCTGAATCAGAGAGGAAACAGAAACCAAGGAATAAAGCACCCAACAAAGATGAGACCAGACATCAGCACCTAGAATTTCAGTCTTCCCAAACCCAGATGCCCAGACACCAGCATAGAAACACAAACAATAATAGCCAGGATGATATGTCTTCATTAGAACCCAGAAACCCTACCACAGCAAGCCCCAAGTTTCCAACACAGCTTAAGCACAAGACAAAGACCTTCAAACAGCCTTTGTAGATACAATAGAGGCCCTTAAGGAAGAAATGGGCAAACCCCTTAAAGAATTCTATGAAAACAGAAACAGTGGAAAGAAAGGAATAAACCATTCAAGACCTGACAGTGGAAAGAGAATCAATAAATAAATACCAAACTGAGGGAAATCTGGAAATGAAAAATTTAGGAACAGAACAGGAACCTCAGAGGCAAGCCTCGTGAACGGAATGCACGAGACAGAAGGGAGCATCTCAAGCACTAAAGACCTGACAGAAGAAATGGATAGCTTACTCAAAGAAAATGTTCACTCTTTAACAATCCCGGCACAAAACAACCAGGAAATCTGGGACACTCTGAAAGATGAAAGCTATGAACAATGGGAATAGAAGAATAAGAAATCCAAGTCAAAGGTACAGAAAATATTTTCAACAAAGCCATAGATGAAAATTTCCCTAACCTGAAGAAGGAAGTGCCTATCCAGCAACAAGAAGCATAGAGAACACCAAATAGATTGAACTAGAAAAGAAAACTCCCTTGGCACATAATAACCAGAATGCTAAGCATGCAGAACAAAGAAAGGAAGCTAAAAACTGCAAGGGAAAAAGACCAAGTAACATATAAAGACAGACCTATCAGAATTACACCTGACTTCTCAATGGGGACTTTAAAAGCCAGAAGGGCCTGGACAGACATTCTATAAACTCTAAGAGACCACAGAGGCCAGCCCAGACCCAGATGCCACACCCAGCAAAACTTTCAGTCACCATAGATGGACAAAATAAGACATTGTATGATAAAACCAAATTCAAGCAATGACTATCTACATCTCCAAACCTACCGAAGGTGCTAAAAAGAGAACTCCAACCTAAAGAGGTTAACCACACCCAAGAAAACACAATAAATAAATAACCCCAGTTCAGCAAATCAAAGAGGGAGAACACACATACACATACACATACACGCACGCACACACATACACACGTGTGCCCCCATCCACACGTCAGGACAGCCAGAAACACATGGTAAGATCCTGTCTTGAAAAAAGAAGAGGAAGAAGAGGAAGAGAAGGAGGAGGAGGAGAGAAGGGGAGGAGGAGGAAGAGGAAGAAGAAGAAGGGGAGGAGGAAGAAGAGGAAGAGGAGGAGGAGGAGAAGAAAAATAAAGATTTTCTAGAATTGAATGAAAACAAGTACGTAACATAACCAAACTTCTAGGACACAGTGCAGGCAAGACCTTGGGACACACAGCTCTAAATGGGACATCTCCATCAAATCCCTCCCCTCAGAGCTCAAGGGACCCTGAGGAAGAGAGATGGAAAGTGTATAAGAGCCAGAGGGGATGGAGGACAGGAGGAGAACAACACCCTCTATAAATCAACATGATCAAATCCTCATATGAACTCACAAACTGATGCAGTACACACAAGGCCTGCAGGGGTCTGCACCAGGTCCTCCGTGTAAATATTTATGGCTTCCAGGTTTGTGTTTTTATGGGATTCCTGCGTGCGTCTCTCTGATTCTTGTGTCTTTTTTTTTATGTTGGTCTGTTTCGTCTAATTCCGACTGCTAATTTCTTGTCTATTTTATCTTATTTCATTTCATTTTATTTTGTTATTACCCCTTAGAAGCCTGTTTGTTTTCTAATGAGAGACAGAAAAAAAAAAATGGATGGGAGGGGAGGTGCTAAGGAACTGGGAGGAGCAGGGGGAGAGGATATCATAATCTGGATATATTATGTGAGAAGAAAATTCTATTTTCAATAAAAGAATTAAATTAAAAAGAGAAGGTTTTATTAATTTAGCACGAGGAGTCTATTGTTATTTTTAATAAATTAATAGATGCTTTAAAATTTCTAACGTGATAAACCCCTGTAAGCAGAGGTTCTTCGTAGTCGTTACTTTTTAGTGTGAAAAGAAACCCCGGAACCCAGAAGACTGAGAGGCGCCCAGCTGTGCGCATCCATTTCTTCTTTACAGCTGAGGTGCAGGTAGGATATTTGGACATTAGGACATTTGGTCTCTGCTAATTGTATTCGGTTTCACGGGTGTACAGCCAGGCGCCAACGCCAGCCTCCAAATAGACGCTGGCCTGGTGTGGTTTGAGGAAAAACAAAATCAGGCTACCATGAGAGCTGGTGGGGACTTGAAAGACCTTTAGTCAAACCTCCCGAATGCTACAAACATTCATCGTGCCGCAGACCCCTAACCTGGGTGATGTGAGGAGTCATACTAAACTCTGTCCTGAATGAATGCCACTAACTGAAGCAAAAAGTCATCCCCTGCAGAACCACTTGCGACTGCATCCTAATTTGGCTGCCAGAAGCCCAGCCGCAACCCTTGCCCCTCCGCGGCCCCGCCCTCTTTCCTCGGCCCCGCCCCTGCCAACCTGGGATGCGAGACGAGCCTGCGGTGCTGAGCTTCCAGGAGCTGCTGCTGCAGCAGGTATTGCTGGTGCAGGGCCTGAGGTAGGAAGGAGGGACCTGTGACGTCCTGGAACTGCAGGGTGGGCAGCGGGGTCAGCGACTGGTGCAGCGCGCCGCTGTGCTGGTGGGCCGGGGCCATGTGGGCGCTGAGGCCCGGCTGCGACTGCACGGGGTGTGCCAGCGGGAAGTCCGGGGCTAGCTGCTGCGGCTGCGGGGGGCCCAGGTGGAAGTGGCGGCAGGAGGTAGCGTGAGGATGCTGAGACCTTTGAAAGGGGGCACCTGTAGAGGCAAAAGACAAAGAGGTCTCCGTGAGGACCTGCAAAGGGCTCTCCCACCTGAGCTCAGCGGGAGTCCCCCCACCCCTGGGCAATTGGAGCTGGTGAAAGACAAGACCTTCCTAACACAGCTGACCCTACAGGTTTTAATATGGGTGCCGCCATCTTTAACTTTCCCGGGTAAAGGTCCTCTGTGAGCTAGCAGAGAAAGAGCGTTTGTTTTCATGTACGGAGAAGTACCCGTATTTAAAGGTTCTAAAGCCGGCCTGGCTTTCTTGAATTAGGCTCCTCCCATGCAATTTCTTATGTGCACACAGAGAAAATTCAGGGCGACTTAGCCAAGCCCTGGGCTTTCCGGAGCAAGTTCTAATTCCAGTATAAGCAACTAAAATTTTGTGTTGCAGTTTTAAGCAGGAAGGGATCACAGAAAATCTGACCTTTTAAAATACCGATCAAGCCTGAGGTTGTTGGCTCAGGCCTTTAATCCCAGCACTCGGGAGACAAGGTCTTTCTACATAGCCCTGGTGTCCTTGTCTCAAAAAAAAAGGGGGGGGGGAAGGGAAGTAAAACAAAATTTTTTAGTAAAAAAATAAGATACCAGGAGGCTGGAGAGATGGCTCAGAGGTTAAGAGCATTGCCTGCTTTTCCAAAGGTCCTGAGTTCAATTCCCAGCAACCACATGGTGGCTCACAACCATCTGTAATGAGGTCTGGTGCCCTCCTCTGGCCTGCAGGCATACACACAGACAGAACATTGTATACATAATAAATAAATATTTTTAAAAAAAGATTAGAATTTACTTAGAAGCAAACAAATTCAGGCATAAGCTCGACTCACATAATATTTAACTTAGGCTTCAGTATTTTGTGAATAGAATTGAGCTTAATTACAACGTTTTGCAGATGCCTGGTTGGACAGCAGAGCATCAGCACTAGAGAAGTCCTCCCATGGGGCAGCCAGCAGATTTTACACTGTAGAAAGATCCCCAAAGGAATTCCTGTTAAAACTGGTAGGTTCAGCCAGGTGATGGTGGCACACACTTTTAACCCGAGCACTTGGGAGGCAGAGGTAGGGGGTTCTCTGAGTTTGAGGCCAGCCTGATCTACAAAGCGAGTTCCAGGACAGCCAGGGCTATTACACAGAGAAACCC